CCGCGCCCTGAGTCCCCCCACCCCCCACCAGCCGCCCTGCCCCTCCTTCCTGCAGCCGCCTCACCTGCTGTGTGACCCCGGCCCGTGACCCAGCCTCTCGGGGCTCAGTCCCACCCGGGTCCCAGCTCGCAAAGTGTAAGAGCAGCCGGGAGGCCCTCCCACCGGGCAGGATCCATATTGAATAGTGTTTTTGCTATAACTTTACTAACGTTTAGCTTCTGTTCTACTTTAGGAAAAATTTAAGATTTTCACGGGCCCTAAAAGTTTCGTGTTTTTTTTAATGTGAGAAATAAAACACAGGTCCTGGCCGGGTACTCGGTTCGCACGCATGTTATGGGGAGGGGCCACAACATTAGTAACAAAGAAACAGAATTTCCAGAGGATGAGGCCCAGAAATCAGGATTTTAAAAAGATTCCCAGGTGATTCTAATGTGCAGCCAAGGTTGAGAACCACTGTATTAGAGAAAAAAATTGTTGATCTTAAAAATAAAACAATTAGCCGTGAAAATGGGTTTACTCCGGACAAGCAAGCTATAGCAAAAGCCATGGGGAGTCCAACAGACACAGGAGAGGAATCGTGTTTTATGGAGAAAAAGGAGGAAGTTGGGAGGGATTTTTTTTGCACAAAAGTCCCTGGGGGAAAGGCGGGAGCTCGCGGCTCGTCACTGGCTGAGTTGTTGGGTGGACGGTTTCTTTTCTTTATTCTTTTTCTTTTATTTTTTTTCTAGATAAGTCTAAGTTTACCTACTTGGGTTTTTGTGGGGTTTTTTCATCTTCATTGTTGAAAGTATTACGCATGTCCTCTTGTTCCCCTCATTAGCCTCCTCCAGCCCCCCCCCTCCCTCCCCCACCCCCGCAGGCCTTCATGGGCGGTTGGTTGGGAAGATGCCAGGCGCATCTTTCCTGCTGGACCAGTGATTGAGGATTCTTTCCGGTTGACGAGTCCTCCTGTGATTGACACGCGTGTCCGGGGCGAGAGCGCCCCCTTCTGGCCTCCAGGCTACATTTTAGTAAGGCTCCTTTTCATTATTCAGTCCCAACACAATGGTTCAACTCCTGAAACTGGAACGAAAAAGGCAAATCAAACCCAAAGTAGCAAATCAAGAAATAATAAAAGAGAGCACAAAAAATCAATAAAATAAAGACAATAAAGAAGCCCTGACTGGTCTGCTTAGTGGCTAGAGCATCGCCTGTTGATCAAAGGGTCAAGGGCACGTACCTGGGTTGCAGGTGTGATCCTGGGCCCTGGTCCGGGCACGTGCGGGAGGCAACCAATCAGAGTGTCTCTCTCACATTGATGTCTCTCTCTCTCTCTCTCTCCCCCCCTCTTTCCCCCTCCCTCCATCCCTTCTACTCTCTCTAAAAAAATAAATGAAAAAATTAGCCTCAGGTGAGGATTAACAAAAAACAACCAACCGACAAACAACAAAAACACAGTAGAGAAGATCAATCAAACCAAAAGCTGATTCTCTGAGAATATTGTCAGGTTTTTAACCCCCGAGCCAGGTGGATGGGAAAGAAAAGAGACGCGACAAATCGCCGGCATCAGGGACGAGAAAGGACAGCGTGAGAGGTCACCCTGACGGGACGAGGAGCGTCAGGGACACTGTTAGCCGCACCCCGACCCGCACTGCGCCCGGTGACGGGCAGAGCCCTTCAGAGACAGAGCTGGCAGTGCTCACCGAGGAGGATCAGGTGGGCGGACGGGCGGGGCCGTGAGCACCCGCAGCCGTTGGCGCCCGCATTAACCCTTATCAGTGGTTGCGTTCTTTTCCCAACGCGCAACCGTAAGCCTGCTTTTGCCCACCTGTATATGAACTGATTATCCCTCTGTCTTTTGAAGACTTTGAAATTGTGTTTTTAAATCTTCCCACGAAGAACACGCCAGTGAATCTACAAAGCACTTAAAAAAAAGGGTGATAGCGATTTCATACAGTCCCATCCAGCAGCTGAGGAGACCAATAGCACCCCGATGCCTAAGCCAGACAGACGTTCCAGGAACAGCACCGGCAGACCAGCACCTGCACGTGCACAGCCGCCAACATCACAAACAGCCCGGCCGGCGCGGCACCGGGTTGGCGTCGACTCAGGAAGCAGAAGGTCAGGTTTCGAATCCTGGTCAGGGCACATGCCCAGGTTGCGGGCTCCATTTCCAGAAGGCAGCCGATCCATGATTCTCTCTCATCATGGATGTTTCTCTCTCTCTCTCTCTCTCTCTCTCTCTCTCTCTCTCTC